GAGGGGAGATGTCGGACAGTGTAACATGAGAAAATAATAATAATTTATGAATTATGAAGGGTTCATGAGGGAGGGGGGAGTGGGGAGGGAGGGGGGAAAATGAGGAGCCAATATTAAGGGCTCAAGTTAAGGCAAATTAAGGGCAAATGTTTTGGGAACGATGATGGCAACAAATGTACAAATGTGCTTGTATGTATGGATTGTGATAAGAATTGTACGAGCCCCCAATAAAATGATTTTTTTTAAAAAGAGAGAGCGTAGAAGAATTGATGTATCTGAATTATGGTATTAACGAAGACTATTAAAAACACTGTGGATTACTGCCAGAAGAACAAATAAATGTGTCTTAAAAGAAATTCACTCAGAATTTTCCTCAGAAGCAAGGGCAGAAAAGCTTCATCACAGGTACTTCAGACATGTTATCAGGAAAGACCGGTCCCTGGAAAAGGACATCATGCTGGGATAATGGAAGGCCAGTCAAGAAAGACGAAACCACTGCACGAACCGGACGGACACAGGGAAAACAGCAATGGGCTCAAATAAAGCAGTTCTGGTTCTCTCTGAGTTTGGTTCTGCTGTACGTAACACCTAATAACAAAACAAACTTGTTTACTTTATATAAAAGACCTTATCTTTGAATCTCAATAAAGATAAAGTTTCTGAACACCGGTTAACTTAAGAGCCAGAACAGAAAAAGAATTCTAATGAGCACTTGGCAGGAAACTCCCAACAAAGGCATGCTTCACGGAAAAGGGGGACGGCATGATGTGGTACAGTCAAAATTCTTCTTAAGATTCTTGAAGCTCATGTGTGTCTAACTCCCACCATATGACAGGATGGGACCATACATATGGAGTATTATAAGCATGAACAGAGGGGACAGGTCCATTTTGGTAGATAGTCCTCTGGCTATCTCAGCAGTCAGAACGGAGAGAAATCCCAGGGCCACAAGGAAGTAGAGCCACCAGTGGAGCACACGCAAGATCTGTCTCAAGTGGTGGCGGCTGAGTACAGAGACCGTGGGACAGAGCACAGAGCAGCACCGAGGCTGTGAGGCTCTAGGCAGAAGAGCGGGCTGGCTTCCTGGCCCGTGGAGGCAGAGGCCCAAAACCACGTGGCTAAGAGGCTGAGGACTAGGGAGACTTGGCTCCTGATTGAGGGGTGTTGCTGTGGACCCACGACTGTATCCTTAACGTGTGCTGATCCTGGCTGTGGTAACCTGTTAACGTCCCTAATAAAATCCCTTAATCATGAGTAGAGCCTGTGAGGTCAGTGTGGCTTTTGCAATGGATTATCAAACCCAATAGAGAGGTATAATGTTGTGGGAGGAAAAACTGGTGTCAAAATGAAGTCAGAATAAGAAAGAAGAGGGTGGAGGCGCACCTAGCCTGTCTGATGGCAATCTAGTGGAGCTGGATTTACCTTCTCCTCTGTGGCCAGAGGCGGTCAGTTTTGACCTGCATCCCATGTACTCAGATGGCAAATGAAGCTCACTGTGAAGTTTCTTCAACCTTCATTTTCTTTCCTTCCTGCCTTGAGGTTCCCCTTCAGAGTGTCCCACTTTCACAGCAGGAAATACCCAACCTTGGAGAGTCAGAACTGGGATAGTATAAGAATGTACATTATCTCTCAAATGTCTGAGAACACAGGTCTCAGTCAACATCGCAAACTTTTTCCCATTTCATAGATTTGAAAACAAATCTGTGCACTAATTCCTAATTGTAGAGACTATTTAGCCCCAAAGCCACTTCAAGACAGCCATGCTATGCTCAAAGAAAAACATGCCTAGCTCCACCATGATCACCACTGATTGTCCTAGGAAATGCCTATCCAAACCAAGGGCAGCCAATCCACAGCCTCTGCAAATGGGTTGGCATAAAGAGTTAAGAAACTGGTCACGCCCTTGCTCTAAAGAATACAAGGGAGTTTTTGTGTTTTTAAAAAGAATACAAGGGAGTACCCACAAAAAACTGGGAAAAAGCTCTGCAGGGCAAAGATTTCCTAGTAATGAGGTGAAAGTTTCTCCATTATCCAGGTTTTGAAGATAACTAAGATGCCCTAGGCACCTTTTTAATGTATACATATTTTTATCACCATTTATATCTTATAAAAATACTGTGCTACTAATTGTGTGCCTCTTAACATATTTTTCTACACAACTGCATTGTGGAAAACAGAAAAGTTATTCCACAGATTGTCCCCCCTTAATATATGCCAAACCTAAGGTGCTGCTTGCAGACACTGACTATATACTTGGAGGTCAACTGCTTAAAGGTTAACTGCCTGAAGGTTGTCAACCATCTAGAGCAATCAGACCCATAGTCTGTCCCACCCTAAGCAGAGCCCACCTCCTTCTGATAAAGATAATGGATTGTTCCCCTGGAGGAGAGCCCAAAGACACCTAAGGTCAAGCCAATTCAGGGAGGACCAAGGTTAGGCTGCCACCTTGACTCTAGAGTCTGCCCATCTTGTTACTTGTATGCCTTCCTGTCACATGTGTGCCCCTAGTGCCTCCCCTTCCTGTTACGCATATGCCTATTGTAAAACCCCTTCCTGTTACGCATATGCCTATTGTAAAACCCCTTCCTGTTACGCATGTGGTAACCTGTAATCTGGGGGGCTTGGTTGGAAATATATTCTGTCTCTGCGCGGATCTGGCTACTGAATTCATGGCTGTCCCAGAGGTGAGCATTCATGATTTATTTTGTCTGATGTCTCTTTAATTACACAACCGCCCCTTGGACCCATTCAATTGTGGGGCCTAGTACCCCACACTGCATATATGATGGCGCTTCAAAAAGTTGTGGGGAAATGGAATTAAGACAATGGGACTTTTCCATGAACTTTTTGATGACCCCCTCATAAATCAATCATAGCTGTGACCCCTCATAAATCAATCATAGCTGTTTTCACGGGTGCAGAGCTTTTCACAGCATGAATAGACCAGTTACATAACCACATTCCCATTGACATGTAGTTTATTGTCATTTTTCTCACGAATACACTCATATAGTTCACACAGTTGTATGACTTTTTTCAGGTAAATTCTCAAAGTGTTACTGGTAAAATGGCATCCTGATTTGGAGCCAGCAAGCCGGGGCTGACCACGGCAACCAGCAATTATATAAATCAAATCAGTTTCTAAATCCAATGAGTAAGCCTTGGGGCAGAATAAGGATGTGACCAGGAATTACACAGCTAGGGTAGTGCCAGGAAAATACTAAGGCTCCTGACATTCCTTATTGAAAAAATCCATACAATTATCTAAGTGGATAGGGGGCAGATGTGGACTGCCACTGCCCTCAAGTCAGTCAGAGGTGCCCACCTGCACCCAAGTCCACACAGGCTACTTTGGTCATTTGGAGAGGCTAACGCGGAATAAATAGCAAAGAAATGGAGGAGTGCAATTAGCCCAGAAGAGAAAGGAGGACACGGAATGGAAGATGCAAACTCACTTTTCTTCAAAATACAAAGTGCTTACCTTCTCTGTAATGCAGTGAAATGGCACTGGATTTCATCGTGATCCCTCGGACCTGTTCATCTTCTCTGCTATCCATGTACCGCAACTGGAAAAATGTCACAAACACATCGTTACCTACTAATGAATTCAGTTAAACTGGACTGGTTCAAAAGACTTTATTTGTAAGGTGAAGAGCCTTATGCCTTTCTTATTTTAAAATGGGAGGAGATGGTAAGGGGCGTTGATGAGAGGGTGGAGAAGATACACAAATTGAAAGACATGGCCATTCGGAACTCATGAATGTCCTCCAATTCTGCACACACAGCATTCCTCCTCCTGCAGTATTTACTGCCCCCCTACCCCATCTTATTGGGAGCTCCACAGATATTATATCAACCCACAGTTCAATTAGTATTTACCATTTTCAGTCAGCTTTCTTTCCATCCCCAATCTTCTGAGCTTTATCTCTATTTGATCTCAGATGGTTGATCGTTCTACAGAATGTGTAGCTCTGGTGCTACTGCTCACCTCCTTGACTGAAAGATGAGCCACAGGGTGAGTTCAGTTCTAGGTCTGATGGTATGTAAGAGCCATAGTTTCAGGGGTTCCACCAGTCTCAAGCAGACTATTAACCCTGGCCTTTGTTAAAGACTTTGAGTTTTGTTCGACATTTTTCTCCCACTCTATTCAGGACCTCCAGTTGTAATCCTTTTCAAAGTAGTTGGCAGTGGTAGTAGCCAGACACCACGTTATTCATTAGTCTTCTGGAAAAACTGATTCCTTGCATCATTGGTTTTCTTCACCCTCTTTGCTCAAGATGGCACAGCAGATGACCGACCACTCACCTTAGCTAGTCATAACCCAAGTCACAATCGACCAGGGAGGAAGCAGCACTGTGGACCATGTTATGCTGACTGATCTTAGTAGCCCCTCGTAATTTCCGTTTACCTAGAAATGTCTTAATTTTACCAATAATTTCTCTGGATATGTAATTCATGGTTGGCAATTTTCTCCTTTCAGGATTTTATATGTCATGTCATTGCCTTCTTGCCTGCAATAGTTTCTGCCAAGTGTTATTAATATTCTTTTGCAGGAACCTTTTTAAAAAAATACTTTTATTGGGGGCTCTTACATCTCTTATCACAATCCATACATTCAAGTGTGTCAAGCACATTTGTACATATGCTGCCATCATCATTTTCAAAGCATTCTCTTCACACTTTAGCTCCTGATAACAGCTACCCAGTTCTTCCCCCTCCCTCCCCCGCCCACACCTCCTCACCAACCCTTGATAAGTTATAGATTATTATTTCCATATCTTACATCATCCTCTGTCGCTCCTCATCCACTTTTCCGTGGGTTCTAGATTGATCCTTGTGATTTATTCCCCCTTCTTCCCCCTAACCATCCCCTAATCCTACTGGTATCTCTACTCTCATTGTTGGCCCTGAGGGGTTTATCTATCTGGATTCCCTGTGTTGCGGGCTCTTATCTGTAGCAGTGTGCATGCTATGGTCTAATCCAATTTGTAAGGTAGAACTGAGGTCATGGTAGTGGGGTGAAGGAAGCACCAAGGAACTAGAGGAAAGTTGTGTGTTTCATCAGTGCTATACTGCACCCTGACTGGCTCATCTCTTCCCTGTGACCCCTCTGTGAGGGATGTCCAATTGTCTACAGATGGACATTGGGTCTCCACTCCATTACACACACACACACACACCTATTCACCTTGGGTATAGTTTTGTTCTAGATGCCTGATCCCTGATCCCATCGAGACCTCATGATCACACAGGCTGATGTGCTTCTTCCATGTGGGCTTTCTTGCTTCTCAGCTAGACGGCCACTTGTTTTTCTTTTAAGACCCCAGACAGTATATATTTTGATAGCCAGGCACCATCAGCTTTCTTCACATTTGCTTATGTACCCATTTTGTCTTCAGCGATTGTGTCAGGAAGGTGAGCATCACATAATGCCCGATTGCTAGAACAAAGTGTTCTTGTGTTAAGGGAGTACTTGAGTCAAGGACCAATGTCCATCTGCAATCTTATTTCTTAACATATAGATATGAGTACATAATTCTAGTCCCCTCTCATGCTATATATATTTACAAATGTACATGCCTGTATTTAGGCCTCCATAAATGTCCTTTGCTTCCTGGTTCTTTCCTCTATTTCCTTTAACTTTCCTCTTGTCCCACCATCATGTTTGGCCTTCATTCGAATTTATTAATTCCTCGCTGCTACATTGCCCTTGATTAAGCCCCACTAGGCATCCTACGACCTTCCTTTCATTGATTATAGTTCACTTGTTGACCCCCTGTCCCTGGGTTGGTTATCCCCCCACCTTTCTTTCTCCTACCTCTCCTTCTTCTGTATCGCACCGCCCCAGCCCGGAACCATTGGTCCCATTCTTTTCATCTCCAAATTATTTACCCCGCCAATCTTATCTAGATAGACATGCAGATACATTACTAAGTGCAAAAACCTGGCAAAGCCAAATAAGACCACAAAGGAAGTCAAACCAACAAAACAATAACCACCACCGAAAACAAAATAGTAACAAAAAGAAAGCCACTGACAAAAATGGAAAAGCCTATAAAGAGTTCAAGTCTGTTTATTGGCCCTTACAAGTGTTTTCCAGTGGAGTCTGATGAGGTGCTACATTCTGTCTCCAAAGTCTGTTTTTGGTATTTCCCGGGGGATTTCATCACTCTGCTCCCCCTGCTGCTCTGCTGCATGCCCTCAGTGCCTCGCCGCACACTATCCCCGCACTTGTCTTCACTGCTGTCCCTCGCAGAGCCATGGTTCAGTGAGGGACGCCGTGTTCCATGGTGCGGCCGGACCTACTACGGTCCTCCCTACGAGTTGTCTGCTTTGAGCAGGAGCATCGTCGGTTTGGTGGGCCAGGATGTTACAGGAAACTTTTTATTTCAGTTTCTCAAGAATTCTTTGCTTTGGGTGTTAGAAAGTTTAATTATTTTCTTTCAGGGTCCATGTTATCTAGGCTTTGCTGAACTTGAATGGACCATATTCTCATCTTTCATGTTTTGTTTTTTCAATAAAAGTACTAGACTGTTAACCTAGAGGCCAGGAATTTGAACCCCTCGCCACCCAGTGGAGTATGGTGAGACAGTCAGCTTCTATAGAGACCACAGCCCTAAACTCTCCGGAGCAGTTCGACTGCTCCCACAGGGCATCAAGTTGGAGCCAACTCAACAGCAGCGAGTCTCTTCCAAACAAATCTTTGAAAACCTTTTTGGTCCTTTTAAATTTTTTTTGTTGGTCTCTTCTTATTCTGGCATTCCAATCACGGATAACTTAATACTTTTGGTGGTGACGCACAAAATTACTAGACCTTCTTCCTTTTCTTTCTGATGGTTTCGCTAATTGATTAAAATATTTGTATTCAATTTCACCACGTATGTCATCCATTGATTTAATACTACTTCTTTGTCCTTGCAATGACCTATTTCTGAAATTTTAGTACTAATCTTCTTGACTCTACTTGCCTTTTATGTGTGACTTCTGATTTTCCATTGACTTTGTGAATTTGTTCGTTTTCTTTTCCTGGATGTGACAGTTTTTGCTGTGTTGAGTTTATCTATGGTTTCCTTATCTCTTTCTGAGACTTCTAGAAGGACATAGGTATTAAGTCTTCTGAATTCCTTTTGAGTATTTCTTCCTCTAGATTTTCTAGGCCTAAAACTTGATATTTTGTATGAACCGCTTGTCCTGTTTTCTGTGAACTTGGAAGTTGTCTGCTGTCTGAGATAATGTGATGTTACTGTTTTAATCTCTTGGTTGCATGCTTATTTGTTTCACCCTGGTTTTTTGCTTTATTTAAATATGTCTTGGCAGGAAGGTGGGCATGCTACTTCATTACTAGTTTGGCAACACTAAAGCACTCATTACTGTCTATACGGATTTGGTAGCAGGTGGTAGTGTGTTGGCTACATGTGCTGTTGCTCCAGTGGTGCCAGAACAGTAGTAGCACTCATCCCAGGGATGGGCTGGCAGGTGTGGTAGGGATGGTGGGTAGAGTAGCTGGCTCTCAACTGCTGGGGGAAAACAAATAGGGGAAAAGGAATAAAGGGGGGGGGGCAAGGTTGGGGGTTAAAGAAATAATCAGAAGGATGGCACAAAGGATCCCTTTGACTGTGGATCAGAGATGTGAGCGCTAGGGCAGTGCTGCGTGAGTGGAGCTGAGTATCTAGTTTCTGCTCTGATTGGAACACTGCTTACAAACATGCCAAATTAGCACATTAAGCCAATTGGTAGTTTAGGGCTCCTTATGCCCTTATTCCTTGTTTTCATTCAGTCCCTTCTCATCAATGTTTGTGCTACTTCTTTATCTTTGCCTTTGAAGCTCTGAGTTCTAAGATGGCCATTTGTACCTGCTCACTTGGTTCGTTCAATCTTTGTCGTAGAGGGTCAGGAGAGCGCATCCACAAGTGGGATCCACACTTCTTGCCATTCTTTTTCCAGTCCTAGACTGACAACAGCTGAGCAAAGGTTGAAGTAGGTTGCCTAGAGGTATAAGGAGTCTCCACTCTTTTTCAGTAGATTTAAACACATTTTTTAAAGTGGCAGTGTAGAAAAATATTTTAAATACTACCAATTAATTCATGGCCTTTATAAAATTAAAGCTAGTTTAATGCCCACAAATAAGGAGGGAGGGAATAGATAATTCTGGAGAGTGGGGAAATTAGTAGTTATGTACTTCAGACTGAGGAGTCGTAGAGAGAGAAGGTAGTTAGGGGAAGTCTCTGTCAGCACTGACGCTGGACAAAGCCTGGAGACCTAGAAACAGGCCCTTTATCCACGCCTGTTCCTGAGTTTCTCTGTCTTCCCACTTAAATCATATACTTATGACGAAACTCTGTGAATTCTTTCATCTTCATGCCAGGGTATCTCATTTGACTCCTGGCAAAAACTCATTTTTGTGCTTGTAAATTATTAATGAAGTAACATAGAAATGGAGGCTTTCTTCAACACATATATTTATCTTTCTAAATTATTAGATGCTAAGTTATTAGATGCTTCTGAAATGCAGAAACTAGGTTAATTTCGGGGGTTATGCAGAAAACACAGAAAATGGTCCATTACATTATAAGCAGCTAGTAAGTACTTACTGAAATGAAACAAGTGTGTATTAAATATAACAACATACCTTGCCTGCCAGGCGACTGGAGATGATTCCATTGCTAGATATAAGGCAGTCAGCCAAGGTAGTTTTCCCTGTTATTAAAATAACACCAATATTGACTCAAATCTCTCTTTTAAAAGGAGTAGAGGATACATTATACATAATGATCGAATAGCTGGCTATAAGAATTGATTTTGCAAAAATTTCTATTTAGCAATGCTAGGTGAAGCAAGACAAAAGCAGCATTTCAAGGAGTGAACTAGAGTTATGACAACAGAATGTCACATGGAAGGATGCCGTACTTTCCAGCGCTGTGAATACCATCAACTTTACCTAAAAAAACGCTAGCGACTTTCAGCGCAGAACCTTTTTTTTAAGGCACAATTTACATATTACACATTTGGATATTTAGGCATAATTTATATACTGCCTATTTCCATATTAAAATACAGTTTTAAGTTTGATGAGGCAAACCTCATCAGACAACCTTTACAGTTACTGTAATTTGTCCCCAACAGACTTTAGCTGTTATCCCTAATAGGAGGTATATCTAAAATGAACTTGACCGCACCCACTCACCAGTTTAATATTAAAGAATAAATTTAACATAATCTGTTAGACACACATAGACCTTTTGAGTTTCCACATGAATTTACAAAGCAAAAGAATTTCTCTGTCAGACCTCACATCTTCAAAATGTGAGCAACATAATTACAAACCTATGGGCGATGTGGGTTAGTCACTGGCTCGTCATATGAAACTCATTCTCGACTGGTTTCATCTATAAAGTGACCATCATCCCGTCTTTGTTTCACTTCTTAGTCACTTCATGTCCAGTTCTTACATCAATGGCAAAGAGCCACCTAGACACCTCCACTCCACTAAACTTCCTAATGTCCTATTTGAATACAAGCACTGCTGCCTTATTTTTCCCCCCAAGTGGCTCCCTACAACCTAATAAGCGATCGGCATCAATGTCATGATTAAGGGCTTCTCACTCATCATCTCCTCTAACTTACAGGCTCAGCTCTCACCCTACTTTACAACGCTGTCAGTGAAGCACAAAAAAGGCAGACCGTGAAATGGCGTTTTCCACTCGGGTTGTCCCAACTTCAAAGAATTGAACCCTTCTCCTATAAGATATGGGCTGGCCTACCTCTTCATTTCATCTCCAAACCAAACCCACTGCCATTCAGGCGACTCCAGATCACATCAGCCTAGAAGGCAGGGGAGGACTGCTGCTCTGCGTTCCCAAGACTTTAAATCCTTACAGGAGCAGACGGCCTCCTCTTTTCTCTTAGGGAACAGCTGGGGGGTTCAAATCACTGACCTTGTTGTTAAGCAGCTCAATGTATAGCCCATTACCCTACTAGGGTTCCTTCACAACCCCCCCTACTATCCCCTTACCTTCAGGCTAATAAATACATTTTATTTCATATCTCCATACAAATCACTTTATTGTGGTTACAAGGACTCTGAGACAAGAACAGGCAGAGCAGCACACAGTGCAACTACACAAGACACAGTGACTCACCCCACTCAACTGAGGCTGGGTGGAGTCCTAACCAAAAAATCTCACTCTGCTGGCATACACCCTAGCAGAATATCTTATACTTAGTAGACCATCAACGTATATCTGAAAAATTAAATAGGAATGCATAAAATAAGCACTGAGGAGAGTCCGTGTGAGTTGTTTCTCCACATGTACCCCAGTTCACTGCCTGAAGCCTACGGACCAGAAGGGCAGCCAATGGTTCCAGGCTGTAGTTCACTCTAGCAAGAAACACCATGAGAGGTCCACCAGTGAAGGAGGCATACCATGCAACAGACATTTTTTCTCAGAAAACCATTTCAAACATTCTACACACTTTAACCAAAACTCAGGTTCTGGTTGAAAGAGCGACGTGACACACTATTATCTTTTTAAAAACAATATTCACCAGTTAGCCATGTTCCTTTCAAAAGTGCTTCTCTTAAGTCACAGGAAACTTAAAGAAAGATGACCGGCTCCTTCTGTCAGTGTAACAGGGCTCTCAGTAGCCTACCACTTCACTCCATGCGATACACCACGTCATAACCCTTGGCAATTGAAAATAAGGTGGTTTAAAAGGTTTCTTACCGTGGTCAACATGAGCCAAAACACAGATATTCCTGATGTTGGCAGTGTTCCTCTGAAGTTGAATCATCCTATCCAAACTATTGAGCACCATGGTTACTTTGCCTGTGACTGAAAATTCAAAGTACATTACAGACAGCACAGAAAGGTGACAGGTCTTCTCAGATCCCTTAAACGGAGAACCCAAGGGAACATTACTGCAGGGAGATACCCATCCAGGCCCTTGCCCGGCTTTAACTCAATGCCAGATCACAACTGCACCCAAGTTTACTCCAGCTTCCAGTACAGCGGGCTGGGCTGAATCACGCAGCCCCAGGAGGCGGGGGCGTCTCCACCAGTGCCGCTGCTGAGAACGAAGGTAAACTTCTCAGCCCAAAGACCCGTCACAGGGTCACACGCACGAGACAGGGTCTACGCTGACACCACTCACTTCGATTATTCTCTATCACTTTCGCTGGAGGTGAAATGCCCACGTGCACAATGACTACTTATACAACCCAAATGAAAGTTCGGGCTCACTGATTAAACACGCAGGTGCGCGGAAGGTTTTTCAATCTTTTCCAAATGAAAAGAGAAGGAAAAAAATCCAACTTCCCGGTCCCTTCCAGGAGCCCCGGTGGCACCGAGGGTTAAGCGCTGGGCTGTGTGCCCCGACAGGTTGGTGGCTCCAAACCAGAGCCGCTCAGCGGGAGAAAGTTGAGGCGAAGTTGTGTTCCGGTAAAGATGGACAACCTCGAAAACCCAGGGGCAGCTGTCCTCTGTCCCATAGAGTGGAAATCGGCTGTGGATCGAGGTGCACCCGCCACCCGCGTGGGGCCCTGGTGACACTTCCTTGAAGGCTCCCAAAGTCTAGCACGAAGCGCCCCCTGCCCCTGGCCGCGGGCTCGAGGCGACCTCTCGGTGGACGGCGGCCCCGCCCAGCCCGCGGCAGCGA